GGAATAGAAGTGATGCAACGGTGCAACATTGACACCATCATGCTTCAACGCAGCACTGATTGAGAGAGACAAGGTCAGGCCCGTAGCAACGGTTTCAAAAGTGGGAGAGAGAGAGAGAGAGAGAGGGACTGCAATAAATCTGACATGCAAGGGAAAAGAAAAAAAACTGAATTGTCCAAAAGCAGGGGATCAACTTCCAAAAATAATCTGACAAGAAAATGAAATAAAACTCCTTACTAATTAACTCTCTATATCCTGGAATTTGCCAGTGCCCGACCTTACAGCAACAAAAAGTGTGTTGTGTGTGTGTGTGTGTGTAGGGGGGGGGGGGGGGGGGGCTAGCATCTAAATGAAAATTTACAATAGAAAAATACTACACTCAGAAAAAAAAGTGGGGGCGATCTGCGTAGAGGAGGTGACTGCAGAGGAATAAGCCTGAGCTCTATTGTGGACAAAACCTACAACAGAATGATCCGAAAACGTTTCCGCCAAAAAATAAGAAGCTCGGAATTATCCAAAATGTGTTCCTACCAGGCAAAGCATCAGCTTCCAGCCATAATCACCTTCATCACAATGCATAGAGGAAAGACTGCTGCGTATTCTGAGAGCCTTCGGTATACTAGACATGTTAGTCAACTCTATAGCTGAACTTGGATTTTCAATCTTACATAAATACTAAAGTGAAAGTCCTTTCATCCGATGGAGAAATAGACGTGTCTGACATGGCAACAGGTGTATTGCAGGGAGATACTCTGGCACCCTTTCTCTTCAGCATTGTCCTTAACTTTGCCTTAAGAAAGATAATGGTAGGAAAGAGAGGAGGAGGTTGGCCTACAGTTCCAACAGAGAAGAAGCAGACGATATCTAGCCAAAGGATTTTACCGATGACATTGCTCCCATATCTGAAGACTTACAACAGGCACAAGGACTGAAAGAATTGAAGAAACCTCAGTCAGTGTTGGCCTCGCAATCACCACCAAAAAGACCAAAATCTTAGCATTCAATCAGAAAAAGGGCAGGCGGAAATCCCTGTCATAGTTAGATTTATGGTTGATAAAATGACCTTGTCAGCACATACAACCTATCATTGAGTCAAATGCTGACTGACGTTTTTCATACTAATTGACTAATTGTTAGGCCATTATTTATACACTAAACTGTCTACGGATTTTTCCGTTTTTTTTAATCACAACAAGAGCACACGGCGGTTGTGACCGGTCGGCAGGGGATGCTCACTCCTCCATGGCACCTGATCCCACCTCTAAATTTTGAGGTCCGAGTTTGCTCTGCTCCAAATTTGTATTGTTTCATTAGACTTTTGAGATTGAATACTGTTCGTTATCTTCATATTTCATTAAGAACTTCAGAACTTTAAATACCTAGTATAGAAGATGAAGTGAAACCAAGAAAAAAGGAAAACTTTTTTCAAAATAATGTTAATACAACAGTACTGTATTTACTTATGTAAGTCGTGTATAAACATGAACAAATCAGTTGCTAAAAAATCTGGGGGGGATTACACGAGCCAAATGCCCATGCCCATACCCATGCTCGCTTTTTGGCTATGCAAGTATATGTACGTATATCGGAAATACAATGTATTTCAATTATACGAATTTATCTAGACATTTAAACTTGTACAGTCCTTGTCAAAATGATTTCTAGATTCTAAAAAGGCTAAACATTTGACCTTCGTTTTCTGCCACAGAATGTCTAACACGGGTAGTGACTTCTATTCTATAATTTGTATATTGAGTGTTAAAACGTATTGTGTCGATATTATTAATATGTAACATTGTATATAACGATATAAATATTAATAAAATAAATTCATCAAAATTTTAGAACATGATTCGAACACTTTCTCAAGTAATGTCTGTTTAAACAGTTACACGCTGACCACTTCACCATAAACGCAATCACATGTTTATGTGCATTTAAATTGCAAACAGTTCTCCGTATTTAGCAGGAGTTTTTGGGCTTGTAATTTTTTTTAAGACCGCGGTGAAAATTTTTAAAAGTTAGTAAACTTAATTCTTAATGTAGAGTGGGTCATGGTACCAAAGTTTTGCAAGTGTAAAAAGAAATTTTTTTCCATTGTATTTAATTATTCGTTCTCAAAAAAAAAAAAAAAAAAAAAAAAAATGGAGCGATTACCCACTCTATTAAAAAACCTAGGTAATCAGAGATTACAGAGCTCACCTCAACGAATGTTGTCTTTAAATAAGGCAAAGTCCCAAACTAATAATCTAGTAGTGTACATCCCTAGATGTAACATTTATGCAATTTTTGTCCGATAGGGCTTGCAGTTACTTGGGAATGAACTTACCTAAAAACTTTAAACAAGTCACTCATCCAGAAATTGTAAGTCATATCCAGCATCTGAATTGAAGCAAGTTTGAGAGTGTTCATCCTGTGATGCATCATCCAGGCAAGTTTGGATCAGATAGCCCTTATAGTTTACTTTAACCTGGTCACTCATCTAGAAAATATCGGTCAGATACGGCGTCCGAAGCAGGCCTGGTAGTGTGCATCCTTAGATGTATCATCCATGCAAGTTTGGTCAACATAGGGCTTAAAGTTACTTGGAAATGAGACCTGCTCTAAAAACTTTAACCTGGTCACTCATCCGGAAAATGTAGGTCAGATCCAGCATCCGAAGCAAGTCCAGTAGTGTGCATCCTTAGATGTATCATCCATGCAAGTTTGGTCAAAACATAGAATTTATAGTTATTTGGAAATGAAACCTGCTCCAAAAACTTTAACCTGGTCACTCATCCGGAAAATTATGGTCAACTCCAGCATTCGAAGCAAGTCCAGTAGTGTGCATCCTGAGATGTATCATCCATGCAAGTTTAGTCAATATAGGGCTTTTAGTTACTTGGAAATGAGACCTGCTCCAAAAATTTTAACCTGGTCACTCATCCAGAAAATGTAGGTCAGATCCAGCATCCGAAACAATTCAGTAGTGTGCATCTTAAGATGTATCATCCATGCAAGTTTAATCAATATAGGGCTTATAGTTACTTGGTAATGGGACCTGCTCTAAAAACTTTAACCTGGTCACTCATCTGGAAAATTTAGGTCAGATCCAGCATCCGAAGCAAGCATGGTAGTGTGCATTCTTAGATGTATCATCCATGCAAGTTTGGTCAATATATAGTTACTTGGAAATGAGACCTGTTCCAAAAACATTAACCTCCTCTAAGAACTTTTACCTGCTCAAAAAACATTAACCTGGTCATTCTTCAGCTGAAATTGCAGCATCTGAAACCATGACTGGTACAATGAAACATACTAGAAGCATCCTCCATGCATCTCTGATTAATATAGGGCACAGAAATACTTGAAGAGAAAACTGCACCAAAAACTTTAACCTGGGACGCCGACGCTGAGGGTATTACATAAGCTCTCCAACTTCGTTGAGGTGAGCTAAAATTATAACTATAACATCCAATTTATGTCAGTTTTTGTGAAAATTTGAGCGTTGTGTCATTTTGTTGTTAATCATAACGACGTTATGCGTGATGTTGGTGACGTTTAACGTTACACTTTAATAGCGCTACGGAATTATTGTCGAAGCATTGTTTAGAAATCTCTAATAGGTTTAATAATATGATAAAATGGCACCAACATCGCGCGTAACGTCCAATTTTCGCAGTTACTGTACTCAGGTATTGTCAGTTTTGTATGCATATGGTAATAACCATTACCTAAATTCACCAAAAAGTGCAATTTATTAGAAATAATTTTTTTTATCAATCAATATCATAGCGCTATGTAGGCATATGGTTTGGCTTATCTCCCCCGTTTCTTTACTTTTCGAATAATTTACAATTCTGTTAAACTTCTATATAGTCTTTGGAGACCAGGAATTCCAATAATCTGTTGGAATTTTTATGGGCTCTAAGCCCCTTTATTAGCCGATCTGTTTTAATATTCTTAGGAAGCAGAATTTATTCAAAAACTTCTTTAAGAACTTTCTTAAATTTTCCTTTTTCTTGAGAAAACTTTTTGTGGCCTTCAATCGACGTTTAGAAATAACGACGACTTCTTTGTCAATTAACAATACTGCAGTAGTTATTTGTCAACTCGATATACCACAGTGAATTCGAATTAAAACACACCATAGGGTCTAGGCATCTGTTTCATATTTAGATGTTTTACTGACTATAGGCATTAATGGCCGACTAACAACTAAACTATGTGGCAAATGGGACGACATCAGGTGTTCCATCGTCAACTTCCCAAGTATATATGTAGTAGCATCCCATTATCACCTGCATTGGGTATTCATGTGTCCAGCTTATATGCAAGAGCATGCTATGTGAACGATCAATTTCTAATCCGAGGCTGGGTACTGAAAATAAGTTGATGCTATAGGGCTTTCAACAATTTGGTTTAAAGTCAGTATTTCGTAAATTCTACGGTCTTTATAATAAACTTGTTTGCAAATACAATCTATCGTTGGGTAGTTTTTACCAATCGTTAAGCCATTGTTTGTATACTAATTTTGACCACGGATTACTCCCGTTTACTTGATCAATACAGGGAGCTCACAGCAGGTGTGATAGAGGATGCTTACTCCTCCTTGGCACCTGATTCCTGGGGTACGTGTTTTGCCCTGTTCACGATTCGAACAGTTTACACAAAACTTTGACATTGTGAAGATGCTTTCAAATAATAAATCTTATTTTTATAATCCTGAGAAGGTAGGTGGTCTTGTTTAAATATTCATAAATATTGTATGTGTCCTAAGTGTACTGGGATTCATGTAGATAACATATTAAAGCATATATGGTATGGAGTAAAATTTATGTGGAGTTACGAAATCACAAAACCTTGACATTGTGAGGATAAATATAACTGGTCCTTCCGACTCTCTGCGATTTATCATTACAATTAAGAAGGGACTGTTCATTGAATGCTAAATTCGAAAATTTACCCCTTTATCTTTCTGTTTGCGCTCTTCCCCACCAATAAAAGTATATATCATAATTATGTTTGTATTATGCTTTAATATCAAGCAGCTACAATTACATATTATATATATTTATCAATATAAACGTACATGTATATCATTGGCATAGTAATAGTGTGGCACGTATAATTATCAAAGGCAGATTACCATAGCATAAAGTAAATGTCCATAACCAATATGCTATTACCATTTATACAATATTTAAAAAGTAGCAAGATCAATAAAGAAAATATTAATGATTTATTACTGTATTCTAAATGCATACTGGGTGTAAACAATATATCCTACGCAATGGAAATTTCCTGAATTTTACGTTCTGTAGGAGTACCTGTTGTACGACGACGATGAGTAACGTGGTGTGTAGGCTGACGACGATGACGATGATCCTGACGAATATCTGCTCTCACTATGCGTGGTGTACCTGGAACTCCCGTACCGATCCTCGGATCTACTGATACCACCAGGAGTTGAACGTGTGTAGACCGACTCTGTATATGACGAGACGTCGCCGTAGTTCTGGAGCTTGTTGGAGATGATGTTCTCGTCTCTGCTATTGAAGGAAAACTTTGCCACCACTCCTTCATCAATCTCCTTCACTTTGATGACGGGTTCGGATCTGTACCCAGAATATGTTCGATATGATTTGTACAGATTTTCCAGTTTCCCCTCCTCTTTTGTTTCTTCTATGTCATTGATATTTTGGTCTAACTCTTCAGTTCGTTTCTCCATTTCAGAAAGTTTCTCTTTCAGTTTATTTTTCTCGTTTCCCACCTCTCTCTTCGCCATTTGGAGAACTTCTTGTTCTCTCTCCTCCAAAATCTTTCTAAGTTTAGCAAATGATTCTTTAATTTCATCTGACACCCTGTTTTCTTCCTTGTCGAGATTTTCTATCGTATCCTCTACTGCTTTTTGTTTCTTCTTGATAGCTTCTTTTTCTGAATCCATTTCTTTTACTGCTTTATCAAGAACTGGAATGTATTTCTTTATGGCACTTTCAAAATCTACTACAGTGTGTCCTAGAGCCTCCTGGTGATCTACAATGGTGCAGTCTCGACAAATGTACGTAGTACAAAGCTCACAAAAGAAATTGATTGGTTGAAATCTGTGCTGTGGACAGAAATCGGTCGTGTATCTTTCAGTATGGCTTATAAAGTCGATAAGCTGAATGATTCTGTGGTCAGTTGGGAGTTCCCTTATCCCGTCCTGGGTGATGATGAAGTTAGTACGACACGTGGGACAGATGATAGTTACGGCAGTAGGAAGTTCACTATACGCAGGAGTGAGGCTCTTCCTGTACTCAGCCTCTTTTTGAAAAATAAGAAGAATGCACTGGAGACAAAGGGAATGATGGCAGTGTAAGAGTTTCGGAGGACGATCTATGTCGTCATACAGCTCTCGGCAGATAAGACATTTGAGGAATGTCTCTATGAAACTGTCTTCGTCTACAATAATGTTCCGTTGATCCTTTAGCAGTTTCCTTTTCTGTTCAAAGTCGAACTCTGTCCGTAAAGACTGCAATGTGGCTTCTGCAAATATTAAAAATACAGAAATTACCAAGTAAGAATTTGAAGCCGTGTTATATTTCATTCTGGTCAGTATATAATACTTGGGAACAGAAGGGACTACAGTTAATATCTGAAATTAGCTTGTTATGCCAATATTTGTATAATGAATGCTTTGACAGGGATTAACCGATTTGGGACTAAAATGAAATGAATATGCGAAAGAGATGGTTAGGTAGGTGAAAGAGGAGGAGTGGTAAATAAAAGAGAATGTGGGTGTCAATAATTCAAGATGTAAGGGGAGTGAAATATTAGCAAAAATGTGATAATGTAGATGGATTTAGTTTGTTTCATTTGTGCCAAAAAAAAGAAACATGAAGTACAAAATTTATCACATATGTATCTATCTACAAGAAACCTAACTGTTGTCAAGAAAGGCATTAGATATTTTAAATTGATAACAAAATTATGTTTCCCAAATTTAAAATCAGAAGAACCACACTTAGTTTTGTAACTAGAGTTATAGTGATGTAATATTTACATTTACCTCCACCCAGTAAATGAAAATTTACAACATAATACTATAATCATTAAAGCTACACAATATTTAATAAAAACACATGCACACTTTAATTGAAGACACGTGATCAGTTAATGTTGACCCTATTCTAAGGGAGACTAGCTATTAAGCGCTAGGAATGGTATGCCAGTCTTTAGCATGCTGTTGCACATGCATTAAATGATAAAAAGAGTGGGAATTACATGTACAAGTATATACAGGAAGGAATATCTGAGGAAGAGCGGATAAGCAGGCATGGATTTGTTCTTTAAATGAGCAATTTAGTTTTACTAAATGTTAGATAGGTACTATTTCGAATGATGCAACTTAATATGCAATTTCACGTAAATCTGTTACTTTCTTTAATAATTCTATTTAAATATAAAATAATGAATATTTTTTCTTCTTGAAATTTAAATTTATGCATAGCTACATCTTTGTTCATCTCTTTTCAGCAAACCAAAATCTGATTTATACCTTCTGACGCCGTTCTTTTTCGTATTGGCGAAACAACCTTGGAGGATTCTGCTATAACAGACGCCATGTTTGTGATGGTGTCACTTCTGTTTATTCTGTAAAATCGAGAGGGAGCATTGATCAGGCTTTTGTTTGCCCTTAAACTTTCTAGTCATTTGTATATATACTTACAAATACCAATTATTCTACCTCTAAAAAAATATTCCAGCACTTTTTCTAAACGAACCCTTACGATATTTCATATATTTTTCTTTTGAGTGGTAAAATAGATCCATGATAAATAAACTTTATTTGGTTGGATTTTTCTTACACGTACTTTAATCTGATTTAAATACTTCCAGGTAATTAATAAAAACAACCATTAAACCATGCAATATTTTAAAATGATTTTTGTTGAAGTATACTTTGTTTGACATAGCATGTAGCAATAATGGAGGTTAGAATAGCAACACAGAACAAGCTATTACAACAGAGAAAGAAGCAACCAGGCCTGAAGGCGAGTATGATTGATACATTGTACAACAGAAGATATGCCATATATATATTATATATATTATATATATTATATATATATATATATATATGTTGTATACAATTTTAATTGTGTCATACATAAAATATAATTGTAAAACCGACTACACTTTTTATAATGTAACACATATATGTATATATTCCATCAATATAAAAATAACATTTCAAAGTATGCATAAACATATACACAAGCATTAATTGAAATTTTAAAACACTACACATTCACACCAGAGTATTTGAGTTTATATTTGAAATGAAAGTAATTACACCTGAGAATATTCCGATTGACTGTATATTAATCACGCCTGAGTTTATTCCGAGTGTATATATTGGTCTTGAAAGTAATAACACCAGAGTATATTTGTTGTATTTTAGTATATACCAAGTGTATATAGAGAATAATATACATGTATATCCTTTTCCATATCATATCCTATATCATTCCTAGACACCAATATAAGCAGAGAGCCGAAGGCCCATGGGCTGATACTGGTCTAGGGCTAATACAGGATGTGATATGGAAATGGGTATGTTTTATTTATATGTTTATTACATAGTTATTCAGTAATAAAATACAGCACATATCTACATGTACTTGAGCAAATGAGAATAAATAAAAACTTATTATAGCTTATTACAGTATCAAATAACAGTAATTTAAGATAAGAGAATATGAACGAAAAAAAAAAAAATAGGTGTATTATCACAAGTTCTCTATTTTAAAGGTTTATTCTGCAAGGGTTATATAAACCCGTATCAGCTCTGCAGGGTATTTTGACGTCAGGCATATCGCACACGCTTAAAACCTGTATTTATTACTAAGTATGTAATAAATTTGTACTGAAAGAAATCACACCTGTATATTCTATATGTATAGTACACATTCAGGGTGTATATTTTTGAAGAGTGTAATCACACTTGAGTGTACGTGTATCTAACTATACTTGTGTTCCTCTTTTTATGCCCCCGTATCGAAGATTCGGGGGTATATATAATTTTTGCCTTGTCCGTCCGTCTGTCTGGCTGTTTGTCTGTCTGTCCGCAAAAACTTTAACATTGCTCATAACTTTTGATTGGTTGGAGCTATGGATTTCAAATTTCACATGTGTATTCCTTGTGACAAGACTTTCCATTCAGTACCATCATATTTGACCTTGACCTTGGAGTTTGGCCCAGTTTTACAAAATTTTCCCCAACTTTAACCTTTGCCATAACTTTTGAACAGTTGGTGCTAGGGCTTTCACACTTCACATGTGTAATCCTTGTGACAAGACCTTTCTTTGGATACCAACAATTTTGACCCTTGACCTTCACCTAGGAATTTGACCTACTTTTGAAAAACTTTAACCTTGGCCATAACTTTTGAACGAATGGTGAGAGAGCTTTCATTCTTCACATGTATAATCCTTGTAACAAAACCTTTCTTTGGATACCAACAAATTGACCTTGACCTTGACCATGGAGTTTGACCTACTTTTGAAAAACTTTAACCTTGGCCATAACCTTTGAAAGGTTAGTGCTAGGGCCTTCATACTTTACATTTGTAATCCTTGTGAATACTTTACATTTGTAATCCTTGTGAGAAGAATTTCCTTAGGATACCAACAACTTTGACCCTTTGACCTTGGAGTTTGATCCACTTTATAAAAACTTCGACCTTGGCCATATCTTTTGAATGGTTGGTGCTAGGGCTTTCATATTTCACATGTGTATTTCTTGTGAGAAGGCCTTTCCTTTGGCAGCATTAATTATGACCATTTGACCTTGACCTTTATGTTTTACTTACTTTTGAAAAACTTTTACCTTTTCCATATCTTTTCAATGGTTGCTGCTAGGGCTTTCATATTTCATAGGTATATTCCTTGGGACAAAACCTTACTTTGGGTTCCAACATGTTTGATTTGCGTTTGATAAAGTTTAACCTTCGTTATTAGTTGCCAGTGTTTCACAAACACATCTTGTTTCTTTATGTTTACATAATGCGAGAATGAATTGAATTAAAAATGTAGAGTATTATGTGTATTTTTGAATTGTTGCAATCTCTTGCACACTTTTCTTGCACAAGCACATTTAATAATATGCTCAAAACATAGCCTCAGGACAGTCATTCTTGTATGTATACAGGACAAAGGGTTAATTTGTGTACAACGATTTAGCTAATAATCATCACAGCTTTAAATCTCCCAACAATCTGGATACAATGAGCAGTGCCCAAACCACTGCGTACGTGTAGCCTGTACGAACAATTAATTAAATGTTTTATATACATCAAAAACATTAGTTATTTAGATGGGTTACATATGTTTTTTTTAATCAAACTCATTGAGCATGGTACTATTGATTTTTTCACATTTTGTAAATTGTTGAAAAAAAAGAGAAATTATTTTTTGGGAACGTGTTCTATTACACACAGCTATGTGATCTACATCCAACGTCTCTTGAGAACAGATTTTATGCCAGCCGATATCACTAGCTAATCATCGCAATGCACATGACTTTCTATACGTTACATACATGGCTGTAAATCATTCATGCACAATTAATATCGATTTACTGAACACGTGTGCAGGATGTGCAGTATGCAAACACGTTAAGCATGTGTGTGCCACAGTTTCTCAGTGTTCTTTTTTTTTTTAATCTGCGAAACCTAACCATGTTTATTGGCCAACTTGGGATCAAAATTTATAATTTATGCAAGCAAACAACCATACCTAAACATGACCTATTTTTTCACGTTTCCCCAGGTAAATTTAACTTTTCTTTCAGTTTGGTGTCTCAAAATTGACAGATCCAAGATTTAAATCTTAAGTGAACTTTGCATATCTTAAAAGTCCTTCCTTATGAGCTTACTAATTTTGTAAATAATTAATAACATTCTTCTCAGTGCGTAATTGACAAATCCACTGCGTGATACTAGGCTAGCAATGCAACAAAGTAAAGATTATGAGTAAGGTCCTCCGTCTTCTTCATTAATCTACTCCGTGCAGCGGACGTAGTGTGACCCCGGGGGAAGATTTTTGTCCGTGTCGTCAATTTTGTGAAGACTGTGTAATTAATAACTTTTTTATGCTCAACTTCTGTAAACTGATTCAACATCACGTACCTTACCTCTGTAAACCTGCCCCGTGTTTATATATCCAGGGCGGGGATTTGCTATACGATGGTTTCACTCCATTTTCTTTGTCGTCTGGTACGATTTGATTGACTGCGCGCGCGTGGAATTCATATCCATCCGGTTTTTATCGATAACATAAATTATACGCATGCGTTTAAAGTTCTTTCAAGTTGCGTAGAGGCACATTCTCTTATTTAAATATGTCTACTTAATTTAAATCTCAAGGGAGTGTTTATTGTCTACTTCGTTCAAAGCTGATACGTAATCTTTACGCCTGGGTGCCTCTATCGATGTGGGGCCCCGTAAGGTTTATTATTTATGTCATTCATACAAGTTACTAATTTCATTGATAAGCAATATCCTTTCCACAACAAAGTAATTTGGTCTTTTCTGCAAAATTGGGTGTTGGTACACTTCTGTACTTTGAATTAGGCTACAGCTGTTTAGTAGCATACCAAACTCAACATCAATACTATTCGGATGGATTGAACATAAGTAAAAGTAAAACATTAATTTATTATTTTCATCATGATTGAAAACAGTCGGCGTCTTAATTAGTCTTGTCCCATGATCCCTTGCACACATTATCAGGAATCCAAAATGATTTTTATACCTTTGCTTCAGCCGATGCTTCTCTGCAGTGACCAAGGACAGCACTGGGTTTGGTAAAAACTATTTATATACTCATTTATTAAGGCATACATTCTCCTTATTTCAAGTTGGTTTTTTTTTTTTGTAAATCGTTATTTTCCCCAATTTCCGATCGAAAATTAAATTCGATAAAGCGTGTTTATTATTATGTTCCTTAAAATGGTTTCCTTATTCTAAACTTTGGATAATATATGTAATGAAAACGTTTCATGGTTTATTATTCAAAACAATTGAAAAGCATCACAATGGCAAGCAAATCCCTGGATAAATACACATGTAATTCTTATGGAAAGTCAAACGTGTTGTTGTCACTTCATTAATGAATGAAAACTTCTAGCGGATATTTCCCTCTAAGTCAAGATAATAAAAACTTGTACTGTTACTAATGATAATATCTGACAAACATCGTTCACGTGTTCCTGTAAAAGATGTGATTAAAAAATAATAATAATAAAATATGGCAATATAAATCTGACGCAGAAGTTTCAAAAATATAAAATCGTTAAGGTATAATACATAACTCTTATATTATGACAAACGAAACACGTTACCAAAAGGAAAATATTAAAAGTAATCTGAACAGTATCCAATCTTAATATAAGATTTGTATCTCAATATCATAGACCAAAGTAATTATTATATATTTATTAATAGAAGCAGTATATTATTGTGTACCAACTAATTTAATAAGTTAAAATGACTATATTTAACATGAACCTATACTGTTCCAATAAAAATGTAAAGCAAAAATGCAAGGTAGCATGATTGATCAAATTCATTTAAAGGCTTTGTGCGATTGATTTGACGACGCTGAAAAAAAAAAAACCACCTTCGTTTGCCCCCAAAAAATTGGACGGGCGTCATTGTTAATTGTAAAGATTACGCATTTTTAAAAGTGACGTCACCAAAATTAGATATGTAATGTCTTATGTTGTTTTCCTGTCGACTGTTAAACTGAAAACTCACGGCAAAGTCTCGTATTGACCGAGAAGGACCCTGCACTGTTACCTTTTCCATCAGAGCTTCACGTGCTGACTGATGGTTTGAAAACATTGCGGAAATGTTTTTGTTATCTTTGGCATTCTGTAACTTCATCCTCTCAGATTTGAAAGTTTCCTCACGATTTAAAGCTAGTTCTAACTGATCAGAAATCTCCTGTCGCTTTTTATCGATCTCGTGTTCCGCTGCTGAGTAAAGTTCTCTTTCACGTTCATCAATTGCGTCACGGATTCGATCAAACGTCTGTCTGATCTGTACTCCCAGCTCCTTTTGAATCTGTTCTAGGTTGTCCGATGCCTTCTCCAAAGCCATTCGTTTGTCATGCAGGACCTTCTCTTCGCTTTCCATCTCTGTCAGTGTTTCATCTAGAACCGGTACGTACTTCTGCAGGGCTTCCTCAACGTTCATGACAATGTGTCCATTTTTCTCTTTATGGTCAATCACTGTACAGTCTCGACACACAGGGGCAATACAGGGCTCGCAGAAGAAATTCAGAGGCTGCATTTGGTGTTTCTTACAGTAAGCTACATCAGACTTCCCCGTACATCTGACAAACGCAATTAATTCCCTCACTGTATGATCGTTAGGTAACCGTAAAATTTCAGCCTCTGACGCAATCAGTCCCTCACGACAAGTTGGGCACGAAATTTTAACTGCCACGGGCATGCTACGAAACGCTGACGTGAGATTACGGCGAAACTCGCCCTCCACTCGGAACATTTGCTTCAGACAGTCCAGGCAAAATGTATGATGACAAGGAAGCATTTTGGGTATCTTTTCATCCTCGTCAAAAGTTTCCCTACAAATCAAGCACTTCAAGAAAGTGTCCTCGAAGCGTTCTTCGTCAAAGACCAGATTCTTCTTGTTATTTTTCTCTGGATCTGGAATGAGGGCCCCTGTCTCCATTGGCTGGTTGAACCCTGCGATTAAAGAAAGCTCAATATGTACTTACTGCCAAGCACTATTTATTTACTACTAACGTGGTGTCTATCTAAGGCAGTTTAGCGTATACAAACAAACGAAATATGTTACAGAATAAATCTTAAATAAGTTTTTCTTATCTGTTATGATTGAGGGACTTTGATGGGACCATAAAACCAAGATAAAGATTATCAGACTCATAACAGAAGAAGGTATGAGACTTGAATCATTTAATTTGGTGACATTTTGCATCTTTTTTCATCATAAATGCTCTCTTCTCCGCGGGCGACACGTGACCTTAGCGTGGCCAGCGATGATAACATTTCCAGATTCTCTTTCAATCTTGTCGCCCGGGGTCTGGGTGTTTCCTTTATTAAAGTGTTAAACAGGTCAACATGGGTAAATCCACGGGAAAAAATGTCATTCTCCCCTATAACTATGCATGTAATGTTTTATTCTATTACAGAATTTAATAAAATTTATTTTACATAATGTTATCAATGCCATGATTTGTTCGATATTTGTTAGATATGCAAAGCATGTTGGTAAAATTTTTGTCCACCACCGATGAAGAAATTCCTAAGAATACTTTCCCAATAAATGATATTTTGCAAGTATTTATGAAATAACCTCCTTATTCCAAGCTTAAAATTTTAATCCGGAAGCGAAATTTACTTACCAGAATCATCTTCCAACTCTTTTAACTTTTCCTCTAATTTTCTCTCCTCATCTTTCTCCGTCATCATGGTAATTGTCAAATCCTAAAATTAAAACCGAAAATAATGATATAAAAATATCAATTTAAACAGTTATGATCTAGACCTGGGCAGTGTGAAGATTTCATTATGCTCCTCATTAATTGTAAAATGGTAGACCTCTGTTTGAAGATATTGACAATCAAAAACAAGTCCTATCAACTAACTAGTTCTTCTCCTTAAAGAAAACAAGTCACATGATAATTGTCAGGCAAAATAAGAACAAAAACGTATACAAATAAAATAGTCAATAATACATCTATTTAATCCTACAGGATTCATTTATGAATTTATGAACAGCGACAAAAATGCCACGGTTTAACCCTAATGAAAGATTTTCATTGTTCCAGAGTAGTAAGTGGACATCTATGATGTCTAAATCAAGTCGAAAAAGATAGCCCTCAACACGGTATATAGAGGTAAAACATTGAGACATGATTAAAATATTGAAAAATTATTAAAAACGTTTTCTTAAGGTTCTTTATAAACCTATGTTCTTTTGTAAATTTGTGTTGAATTTATTGTTCCTCTTAGTTCTTTTTAACTTAACGTCAATAACCAAAGGGGTTAGTGATCTGCCTATTTAATTACCACAATGGCTGAGATATCGATGTAATAATGTTAATGCGAAATGTACTAATGATCTACAGATTTTAACGATTCCCTTTCCTACCCCCAGACGAAATACAAACGCCCATACGAGGTATTACCAGATTATTGATCTGCTTATGTCAGCAGTTTGAAATCCATACAAGTGGCTTACAAAATTCGGCGCGACAGGAAAATGCATGCGATTCTACGAGCCCTATGAGAGATACAATGATTTTGGAATTGGAATAGTGAAAGTAGAAATCACAAAGGGTCTCAGCATGTGCGATCTGTTGACAACCACTTTTTGTAAACAATAGCAAGGTTATACGTAAATTTTCGATTTTTTAAAATTATTATTAGAATATATGATAAAAATTAACTAACTTACCTGTGTATCAAATCAGCGTGGTCTGCACAGTTTAATAAAAGCCTTGTATTAATGAACAAGCCCCCTAACCATTACGAACGTCTTACTCATTCATTTTTCAGACATAAATGTTATGTTATAAGCGATTCGATTGGCTGGTCTTGTTAGAAAAATAGGTCAATGGAATGTTATGGGGCTATAGAAAGGTCTGTCTCTCTCTCTCTCTCTCTCTCTCTCTCTTAGTAAAATTATATTTAAAAAAATGCAGTAAAATTTCCGATTGACGTTGTGAAATATTTTTACAACTGATCAATCAGGAAACGTTTATACATATACAAACACCAAGGATTTTCAGTCCAGTACGCGTTGTGGACCGAAAACAAAGAGCTGAACGTACGCCGCTGGTTTACAAATTTTAAGATAGTGATTCTTTTGTATTTCCCCCCTACGATGCAAGGTTTTTTTTTCACTTTTTTTACTGATGGTCTGCTTAGACTATCTAGAATCAACTTGTATATCTGTTTATCATTTGTGTGATTTACGGTGGGCGAGGCAATGACTTTTGAGATATTTTATTGGTGTGGGAGTTAAAAGTCAGAATATCACGTACAGGCAGCTGTCCAATTCTGCAAGTTTATGTGTACTTAACCACAAACAACACTTTATCTTGCAATGAAAAAATGAACTCTCTCAGTATATTTAATAAAAACTCGGCATCATCATATGATAATTAAAATTGTATTCTAAATTTTTAAAGATGAAAAAAAAAATAACAATGAGCAAGCATCTGTTAAGGATTAATAACACAAACATATTTCACTTATCCGGTTTCATGTGAAGAAAAATGCAAAACATGCGAACATGAAACAATTTGAAAACAAACTGAATTTTGTCAAGTTGAGTAATTTATTTAAAATTTTTAGTGCTTTCTGTAAAAAGACACTCGGTAAGGATATCCTTTGAACTCTTTCAAACAGCTTCAAATGAGAATATGTTGTTAAATACATATAGATGTTATTGGATACTCTCTCCTATAGCATTTATGAATTTATTTGGCAAAAATATTTTAAAAAAATTAAATGGAACTCTTTGTTATCATTATTTTTCCTGAGAATCCCGGTAAACCTGATCCAGACACTATGTAAATACATGATGTGACGTCAGGTATATCAACATATGGATAAAAGTAAGTAACCTCCCTTTGAAAATACTGCCCACAATTTTTCAAAAATATTTGTTATTTTACCTTCAGGTTGAATAATTTTAATAATTTAATAAACAATTAAATACAAAAATTTATATAGTAATTTTAATTTCTCAAGATTATTACTTAAAAGATTCTTATTTTTATAAAAATTAGAGGAAAACACATGTTTTTACCTTAAAAGCTTCACTAAATGTAAGAAGTGAATTTATATATAGATTTTTGAAGCCAATTGAGATTACTCTGGTTTCTCTTCAATCCACGATTAAATCTTTCGCCTTTTACTAAAGATTTCCGTGGAGAGGAACATAAATGAGTCTATAGACTTATTTTTGAAGCCCTACATCAGTAGGGTTAAGAAGTCACAAATATAAGAATCGGACATGGTTGAGCATCGTATGCTTATATGCGCCTTACGGACATGCGCAACGTACCTTACCCACTGATAATTTTTCAAAATATTCTTAATCGTAGACAAAAAATAAGCATGCATTACCAGGGGCTTTGAAAAGATATCAATTGATGAAAATTCTTGAATAATTCAAAGAAAAATACATGTATACAAAAATTTCTAAGCATATATTCTAGATGTTTTGTTTATCCAAACTTGTTTTAAAAGAAGTGTACAACAACATATATAGACATACAAATGTAGCACACAGTTCCTTTAAGTATTGGAACTCTTCAACTCCAAGGAAAAAGACAATAAAGTTCAAACTACGTTGAGTATGTCCTTAATGTACTAACGCAAAATAGCTGTACCATGTTTTAAAAATGCATTTAATTAAATGAGAATCTAACTCGATTATATAATTTTTTTTTTTATTAAAAATCAATTTAAGACAAAAACGTGGAAGAGGTGGGGTTGGGGTCAATCTTGTTACCGACAGAGGTGCCCCTAAAATTATTTCTTGATTACGACCTATAAAAATATCTCCTATAAATAAAATATCTCCTATATATAAAAATATAATATTTAGGGGCAAGTCTGTCCTGAAGGACTTCTATGGAAAATTTTGTCTTAGCCAACTTTGAAGATTAATTTTAAAATTTCAAATACACTTTAGGTTCAAAAATGTAGACACACACACAAATATATCTATATATATATATAGAGAGAGAGAGAGAGCGAGAGAGAGAGAGAGAGAGAGAATTCACAGAATTCACATCTGATTTACATCACTTCTAGAATATGCTGTAGCACAGTACGTCAGATGTCAGTAAATATATTTGTAAGGGCTTAGTAGAGACAATATTGGCTTGACCCTGCAATGTATCTCTGTAAGGATTTTTATGAAGTTTAGGAATCCAATATAGGTAGGGTAGATCGAACTCACCTTTGTTGATTGGAATGTTAAAACTGTAAATACTGAAATGTGATTTTGAAGAATTTCATCTTTAGAAAGTGAACTGCGAGTGTAAGTTGGATTTCCAAAAATAGAATCAAAACCAAGTTCTTCTGAAACACAGTTATGATAATTAGCCTAGCTTACAAACAAAGGCGACATTGTTACAAGCCCCGTCGGCTGGAACCATAACATATTTTTATGTAGTCTTTCTAATTCTTTGATCACCTCCGATTTAGTAAAAACGGAAGGATAGATGGTTCGCATATTCACGATATTGCGTTTTAAGTTTCTTATATAATTCTTCAATATAATATTTCTAAAACATTTGATCCATTCTGACAAAGTGTTCAAAACTTCCTTTGCATTTTAGCCCAACGTCTTGCAGACTAGTAATCTTCGACAAAATTCATAGTAGAAATAAAGTTCTGTCGGCAATTAAAAGTTCGTGGCTCCCTGTATTTAGCGCCTTTTAGTAAGATCGCTTTAAGGTCTTCAGTTTCAATTATATTGACATTACCAATAATGACGTGTCCAGCGGGACTGTAGTTAAAAGAAGAGCAAGAACACTTCAGAGGATTCTGTTTTAGATATTAAATATCTAGGCACTGTAAGGTTTGTTTATAATTGAAAAGTTTGGAAGCAACAGTTGGAGAATAGCTGTAGGAAGTGCAGGATGTAGATTTCAACTTGAAATATGGTGGCATACAATTAAGATTGAACCTTTTTATGATTAAGAATGTTACTAATGTTCACAGCATCTGTAATTCCTTTTGTGGTAAATTTAAGTTTAAGGAACCGACAGGTTGTCAGAATTATCTTTCTACACACGTGTTGGTTTAAAGAGCCTGTGCTGGGTAACATCCATAATCACGGACACTTGTTTGTATTCTGCAGTCGAAGAACTTGCTTTAGCTTCTTCAAAAAATAGTCCATTCAAAAATTTCAAGATTTAGAAGTGCGAATGTGACGAAGGCCTAATTGTTTATTGACGTAAGACAAAAGAGAATAAAAAATATTTGGTCTATTGTATGTCCATGTGTTAAAAAGCCCCATCACATTCACATTTGCACACTGTAGGCATGTGACATTCCCTGTACATCTTTATTGTTACAACTTCTCAAGGTATTTAAAGTAGATTCAAAATTTCACTGATTCATTTTACATTTAACAATGCGAAAGACAGGCCCCTATGTTTGGGAGAAAATCCGAAACCTTATTACATTTCTACACGACACCGTCAACTTGGGAATTCATATTAAATAGCATAATTTGTTTGCTTTTATGAGGAGATACCTGGTAGTGTGAATGACGAACGGATTGGGATAACAAAACATCCCAAACTTTCTTCAGTAAGTGTTAGTATAAAATAAATGCGACTAGGAAAAGCTTGATCGGTACATCTTTAATTATAGAGTTATCTTTCTTACTCTGACTGGTAACTATGACTATTGGGTCAAGGTTGCTCTTTGTGGTGATTCTTGAAGGTCGTTGCTCAGGCCTTGATGACCCTACCTCATGAACAAAATGACAATATTCAAAACCACGTAAATTATGTGTAATGTCAGAACAAATAACTCACAGAATAATGAATCTTACAGAACTCTGGAGCAATCACATTCGTGCTAAGTTGTATTGGACAGACTGCTGGATACAATAATGAGACATACTTAATACCATATGTAATTATAAATGACACTACCTAATGAAGACAGAAATATTCAGTTCAGTTCTTTATTCCGTGGGACGTACATCCCATAGGCATTATAGTACAATATAATATATTTATCAGTTACATACATAGTACAATATCATGATATACACTTACAAACTTACATACAAACTTGTGATACATACATTCTATTATTTAGCTAATTGTTTTAAACATTCTAATCGTAATTTATTAGCATGATATATATATTTCCCTAACTGATCTACATCTTTGGTATTTGTACTAAAAAATAGTTGTATTAGTTTAAAGACACTTGGTTCTGACATGGAGATAATAAACAAATGAAATAAACAACAAAATAAAATGAAGAACTTTTGAGGAAGTTAGGCTTCACTAGTGACCTGCATGCTTTGAAACAAGATGGACAAATTAAAGAGATTACAATAGGAATTAACTGTTTATGTATATATATATTCCCTGAAAGTGTTTAAAAATACTCTATTAATTTTTGAATGGATTAGAACTTATGTCACCCATAATGGAAGATGCCATTGCTCTTGTGAAAGAATGTCTTTTCAATATTTCACAAAAAGTATAAAGCATAGATTAAAAATTACATCATTTTCAAATCAGCTAACTGAGGCATACGTATGTAGATTCTCTGAGGAATTCCTCTGTTATTAGACAAGCAAAGATTAATCATTATAGTCCTAGTATTAAAAAAATCAATCTTATTTATTTTCCTCACGTATTTCCTTTATCGTCAATTACCTCAGTATCTTTCTAATTTTACACTTAACTCGTTTTAGCTTAAATCATCTTTTCTCTTACGCTTTCAGTTCTTGAATTGAGTATCATCCGCCGGTATTCACTGAGCGGTCGATATCACAATCTTT